TGTCACAGCAGAGCAAACTACAGGCCAAAATTAGTCTTCCATTGACAGGTTACAAACAGTTTGTCTTCCAGTTGGAATCAAGCTGCCCAGAGATCTTTGGGTAGTGTGCCAGCATATAAATTAAATAAATAAATTTTATTTGTTACATTCTAGCAACATTTTGCTCCCGTCGCTTGTCCCAGCTCCCGCCAACCTAGTGGTTCAAAAGCATGCAAATGCAAGTAAATAAATAGGGACCACCTCGGTGGGAAGGTAACAGCATTCCGTGTCTAAGTCTCACTGGCCATGTGACCACAGAAGATTGTCTTCGGACAAAACGCTGGCTCTGGGATGAGCACCGCCCCCTACAACATTTTACCTTTACCTTTAACAACATTTTAGCCACCACGTCTAATTTAATGCCATTGACTGTATTGTATGTTTCTCCAGGAAAAAAAGAACAGTGCATCAGAGTTCACTTCTGAAAACATGCTGATGTCTGTGCTTGACTTGTTTGTAGCTGGAACAGAAACAACCAGCACGACCATAAGATATGGGCTCCTGGCTCTCCAGAAATACCCAGAGGTAGAAGGTAAAACAGACCCTTCAACTACCTGCCAGCAGCTCCACTCCATTCCCTCCCCCTGGTTTCCCCTTTCATGGAATTCCTACCTTGCTGCCTGGGTGATTCCAGGCTGAACTGTAGGGCAGGATTTGGGTTGATCATGGAAGTTAGCTTTGGTGCCAGTGGGTAAAGAAGGACAGTAAAAACACAAACTAAACCAGGAAAGATCCACCAGAGCTACCACCAGAAAAGAGGTGGGAACTGGGGAGCTTCTGTGTTTCAGACAAAGGACTTTCTACACGGGAGCTAAATGTCTAGAGATACTCTTCCATAATACTTGAAGATTGTTCTGCTTCCAAGATTCAAAAGCAGAGAGCATATATATATATATATTTCCCCCTTCAATAAAAGTAGGCACCCAAATCTTCTGAAGAACACCTGTCATCTGAAATACGTTGGGCCACGGAGAAATAATGGCTTGGATCTCGGAGTGCAGCCTCTTTGTAGGGGATGATCAGGGAATAGAGCTGCAGAACGAAGACTAATCAGAAGGGGAAAAAATCACATAGAGGAGACCAAGCCACCCAATGCATCATCCAGCCTGTAGGGCAATCGGCACCCAGGTCAGCCCTCTTGGCCAGATTCCAGGGCTTCTGTGGCATGTTGGGGCACTTGTGCTGAACCTTTCTCATCCCTTTCCAGAGAAAGTGCAGGAAGAGATTGACCGCGTGGTCGGCCGAGCCAGGGCGCCATGCATAGCTGACCGCGGGCAGATGCCTTACACAGACGCCGTCATCCACGAAATCCAGAGGTTCATCTCTCTCATCCCACTGGCTCTCCCCCACTCAGTGGCCAAACACACCCCCTTCCGACAATTCGTCATCCCAAAGGTAACGGCTCTGCTTCTAGGGCAAAACAGGAGCTCCTGTGTGACCGAGGGGACTGATGTAGGGGCATGGATCTTGGCAGGGCTCAGGGCTGTGTTTCTGTCTTGCCAGTAGCCCAAAGGTTGGGCTTCCAAGGGGCAAGTGCTTTAGACATTGCCAAAGAAATTGGGGTGTATATTGAATTTTGTTGACAGTGGTTGATATTTGTACAGGTCATAAGAATAGATTTTAATTACCCGAGAAATGGGTTTAAACGTAAAGTGTTGGGATTGTTTTTAGAAAAATCTTGTAGTGACCTCAGCAATTGTGTTTTTTATAAAATATATATATAAAAATTGGTCAGTATGGGAGAATAGGGTTTTTTTGGGTGGGGACTGCATACCCATAGACCCTGTGAAGATCTCAAAGGTACTTTCCTGAGGAAGGGTATGTTTTTTTAAATCTTGAATAATTTGAGAGGGTGATATGGGTTGGCTGGTAGGTCAACAGTGCTGGAGGGAACATAATGTTTTTTTGGGGGCTGCATTTTGCTCACCCTTGATTTAACCCATCTCTCAAAGGCAGTTGAGATCAATGAGCAATGAAGTATCCCTGAGACTCTCCGTCTGTTTCTCCTTCATTCCCTCCCTCCCCTTCTGCTCCCATCTGCCCATCTGTCATTAGTCACCTTTGTTTCAATCCCGATACATCACCCGTACACACCAGGCGCTTACCCCACCAGTTTCATTTGACGTCCCAGGAGCTGTGGCCTTCCTTCTCATTGCAATACGTCATTAAGCAATACGTCAATCAGTTCACACAAATCGGTCACGGTCACAATAACAACCATTGGGTGTTTGGAACTGGAATATGACCTAACATGATTGATTTCAATT